TATATATATATATATAAACATACTGTAGATACTGTATGTTTAAGCCTGGGTACCTGTAGATTAGCCTGACACCCCTCATAACTCCAAATAGTCTATAATTATTTCAGAATGATAAAACCTCTTCCTAGAAATGAGAGAATGCTGCTGCTGTGGCCAAGTTTTCAGTTTACTGCACATTTTACTGCTGTAAATTTATACTGAAAGTGAAAAAAATGCACTTGGAAGGAGTGAAGGGCTGGGAATCCTTTCTGACATGACTGTATCTATGTGGAATTCATAACAGTTGAGTGCTGGACATATTTTAACAACTGCCTGAACTAATGTCAGGAGATGATGGGAACAGTAAGACAGAAGAAACCAATCGAGTTTGATCAAAAGAACATATACAAGTGAATTGTTCAAATTGTAGACAATCGTCAATCATTTACTGAAATGTTTTACATAATTATTTCTAGGAACGGATTGAGAAGTGCTCTAATGTGTAGAAAAAACTTAAATGTGGAGAAAATCAAACCTGATTATTGAAGCAAAGCTATGAAGAAAAACTAAAGATAATGGTAGTAGAGTACTTAGCTGCTACCAGTTTCCTTGTGCTTTACTTAGCCTGCCTATAATGCAGAACTTATATGAAGTAATGGGAATTTGAGTGCACAGAAGGTAATCATCTAAACAATTATTAATGAAGATGATCTTGACATGGAATTCTTTCTACCAGCTTGTCACTTTGCTGGATGTACCCATTGTCACCCATGTAACAAACTGAGCCGTCATGTCAAAGCAGTAGACGTGTGCCGACATTAAGTATTTGCATGGGACACTTCTGCATTTAATTTGTCAACCACATCTCTATGCATCTTGCAGAGTTCAGCTTTTGCAGTTATGTGCAAATGCAATCTTTAAATTCTTCATCGTCCTCCAGGAGAAGCTCCCTCTCTACTGCGGTGACAGATTGCATTTTCTCTGCATGTAGCCAATCAGAAACAGCTGATCATGGTTCCAGCTGTCGATATATGTAGACTAGACACGCACTTACACTGGATGACTGAATCTAGCTTTTCTAATCCACAACACAGGTGGGGGTTGAAGAATTGAAACATCCAGATAACCTTAGCTGGCATTAGGAAATGTTTAATGCTGTACGAAGAACACCCTCCAGGCTGCTGCTGGTCCACATTATATTTCTGAGGAAACAGCACGCCGTCATGGTGGGGATCGTGTTGGTTGTCCACACAGAGGTTTATGTATTTTGTTATGCTGTGTGTCATGGAATTGATGCCATCCTCCTTCCAGTGTGTGGCTTCCACACATCCCTGTAGGGTCTCACGGGGGGAATCAGTAATGTTGCAGAGACGTGATTCAGGTCTCCTTAAATGACCATTTACACATTTGCTGGGTTTGTAACCTAGTGGTGATGGTGGAATGTAAACAACAATAGCAAAGGCGCATGTGCACTCTGGGCAGATAATATGGATGCATACTTGCAGATAACAGAGCAATGGCTGGACGCTGCAGTCCCCCCATCTTTCTTCTTACCACTCAGTCTACAGCAGGGGTGGGCAAACTTTTAGGCTCAGGGGCCACATTGACTTTTAAAATTTGATAGACGGGCCGGGCCAGCACCAGATGCATACATATCAAACATAAACATATAAAAGGCATTACAGTGTTAATACTTACATTCACTTTTAGTGGGAACAGTGTTGTTGATCACCCTTTTTTGCCAGTGCATCGAAGTCTAGTATTAGTTTTGTTGTGGCAATTCTCAGAACAGAGGTGTTCATCATCAGGGATCTGTGGGGTGCTTTGTTGGTGTTCATCACACTAAATGTCACACACATAGGTAGAGCCAACAACACCAGCATCCTCTGTGCCATCTTCTGGATGTTTGGAAATTTGGCTGCACTTAATGAAGCATAAAACTCATCCAGTTTAAGAGAGTTGAACTTCTCCTTTAAGACGGTGTCACATTGGAGATCAATCAGTTCCAACTGCAACTCCTGTGGCGCCGTTTCAGGGTCTTGTGTGAAGGGACATGACACCAGCTGAAGTGACTTGTCAGTTTTTCTAAAATCAGAGAACTGACGGCAGAATTCTCCGTGCAGGTCGTCTAGTGATTTCCTGTATTTGTTCACATGTCGAGGAGCCTCTTTCAGCGTAGCCAGTGTGGGGAAATGAGCAGATGACTTATTTGACATTTGCTTTGAGAATAAAGCTAGCTTGGTTTTGAAGGCTCTGACATTTGTGAACATTTCGTGCACAAACTGATCTTTCCCTTGTAGCTTCACGTTCAGCTCATTCATATGTGTCAGTATGTCCCCAGCAAAAGCTAAATCACAAAACCAATCTGTGTCACAGGAAAATCATCAGCTTTCATCATCATACTTTCCCCAAACTTAACCAGCGGACATTTGAGTGATAAAGCAAGTCCTGGTGATCAGCGTCAGTTTCTTCAAGAAACTTAAACTGATGATGCTGAAGTCCCCTTGCTCAAATAAAGTTAACAAGCTTTACAACTGTCTTCACTACATGGTCAAGCTGCAATACGGATTTACACAGTGCTTCCTGGTGGATTATGCAGTGTAGGAAAATGACCTCCTGCTTAGGGTTGTCCTCTTTCACCCGCCCCTGGATTCTTTTGAGCAGCCTGACGTTTTTCCAGTCAGATTTGGTGATCCATCTGTGGTAACGTTGGCAAGCGTATTCCAAGGTAGCTTGTGCCTCTCGATGACCCCCGAGACTCT